CACTGGGAGTGCGTTCATGTGGTTGGTGCTTTGACATGTCGCCACCCGTCTGAACATTGTTGCAGACCAAGCTCCCACTTATGGAAACCTCAAAAGGCCTCCCTCAGCAGTACAATGCCACACTGGAACGGCTCAAGGAACATGACCAAGAGCCCAGGGTGTTGCCTCCCCAGATCCCCATCTAGTCAAGCATCAGTGAAATGAGCCCTTTCCATGGGACTGCTGATACTAATAGTATAGCACGGGTGTTGGACGCCCTCAGAGGTCAAGTGTCCACACCGCTGTGGATCAGAGCTGTTTTGAGAGAACAAGGGGGACCTACAGACTATTAGGCAGGAAGTTTTAATGTTGCTGCAGGTTTGTTCAATGCAATGATCAAATAAGGAATCTTTCGTTGGTTTACAGGGCTGCAGGGTGGCGCAGTTGGTAGCACTGTTGCCTCGCAGCAAGAAGGTCGCCGGTTCACGTCCCCGGGGGAGCACCGGAATCTTTCTGCGTGGAGTTTGCATGTTCTCCCCGTGCAGCGTGGGTTCTCTCCAGGTTCTCCAGCTTCCTCCCACAGTCCAAAAACATGTTGGGGTTAATTGGTGATTCTAAATTGTCCGTAGGTGTGAATGTGAGTGTGCTTGGTTGTCTGTCTCTAAGTGTAGCCCTGTGATGGACTGGTGACCTGTCCAGGGTGTCCCCTGCCTTCACCCTGAGTCGGCTGTCTGTAGTGAGGATTAAGCGGTGTATAGATAATGGATGGATGGATGGATAGTTGGTTTACTTATGCACACATACTCTGAGTCAGGATGGACATCAATTTTCAAAAATGGAAACCATGAACTTCAACTGTGTCGCGCATGTGAATGGAGCGAGCTAATTATATTGGAGGAGGTATCATCTGGACGTACAAAATTTGAAAGCACTGGAGGTGGAGGGTGTGTCGTAGCTTATATGCTGTTTAGCCCTTCTAGCAGCATTGCTCTAATACTAACAAAGTTGCCCGGTCTGTTGCTTTGTCCAACACTGTAGCCCAAACTAAAATATATCTGAACAACTATTTCATTAATCTAAAATTTTTGTGAAAGCATGGATGATTCATGATGACAAACGACTGGTGATTTAGAGCCTCTAATAGGGTGAGAGGAAAGGTCAGAGGATGAGTATGTTAGCGTTTTTGGCTTTTAGTAAATTATATTTTTGGACGGATTGACAAAAAGATAATTTTGCACAGGCATCGATCCATTCCAGTCTGTCTCTCTCAGGATCCACCATAATGACTTTTCCATTACTCTAGTTTATGACCAAATACCCTCAGGCACTCTGTATTCCTTTCTATTTGGACTAATTACCACATCTCAGCATGAGAACACACGACTACACGCTACTACTTCCATTAGACCATGGGTCAGTTTTTCCTAATTCATCCAGCCCAACGGAAGTAGAGACTGGGTTGTTTTGGTGCAGTGCATGACAAGATATTTGCCTTGAAAATTTTGAAATGACTTTGGCAGTGTTTGGATTTTTACCTTGCACAGTTTGGATTATACTCCATGCCTATTAGCTCAGGTTATACAAACATTATTCAATTATTTGAACTACTGATCTTACAGAGAGCATCACACCAGATTATTCGAAGCTTAGACAGGGTGTTTTCGCTTCCAGAGGTAGAATATTAGATGCATTTAAAGATGTGTGTCCGTTTTCTGAAGTAGCTGTCTGAGTATGAGGAATGCTGTGCGACTGCTTGAGCGGGTAATGATGCATTACCGCGCTTTCCGATCTATATCCCCACTTCACCATTTTGCACACAGTGTCACACCGTAATAAGCCAAAATTGCAGGCTCACTTAGAGACACCAAAGCCCCGCTGCATTGCACTCGTTGCACCATTAAAATCAGGTCTAACGGGATCAATTCCCTCAGCAGCGGGTAGTCGCTGATCCATCATCCGTCCGTGGACAGATGCTCAAGCTGCTGTCATCACCGCTGTAGTTTTGTTGCTGGCACCTTTCCAGCATTTTTGTGTCTGACTTCCCAGTTTACACAGACACACGCTATCCCTCTTTTTAATACTCGTGTTTTTTCTCATGTTCTCCGTTTCTCACTCTTACCCCAGTGACCCTGCGGGCGACCCGGCAGTGTGTGCGTGATGAACTGACCGCTGTAAAACTGCGGCGTAAATCAGTGCGCTGAAGTCAGTGTGAGGCACATGCATGTGAAATTTCACGTTACAAATGGCAGCATTTATTAACCCAGACCCCTGTGGTGGTGTATGGGTAAATAAGGAAAACTACCCCAAAACAAGAACGGACAGGAGGGCTAAAAAAAAGGGTCGAGGAAGGAGGTTGGAAAACAAATAAACTGAGTGCTATCCCTTCAAGTTGCATGCAGCACAGCTTATATTTAGTCAAAAACACACTGGCTAAATATTCTGCTGTACCTTTCATTACATAAATGTCCTGTTGAGGTTTGGGAAGCAATCAAACACAAAAAAAACCAAACATGGGTGAAGTACGGCTGTTTTGAGTGACTTTGCGGTGCTCTTGGGAAAATTCTGAATTGGCAAAGTGAACTTAAACAGGGGCTGCAGGGTGGTGCAGTTGGTAGCACTGTTGCCTCGCAGCAAGAAGGTCGCCGGTTCGCGTCCCTGGGGGCACCGGAATCTTTCTGCGTGGAGTTTGCATGTTCTCCCCGTGCAGCGTGGGTTCTCTCCGGGTTCTCCGGCTTCCTCCCACAAGGTCCAAAAACATGTTGAGGTTAATTGGTGATTCTAAATTGTCCGTAGGTGTGAATGTGAGTGTGCTTGGTTGTCTGTCTCTAAGTGTAGCCCTGTGATAGACTGGTGACCTGTCCAGGGTGTCCCCTGCCTTCGCCCTAAGTCGGCTGGGATAGGCTCCAGTCCCCCGCGACCCTAATGAGGATTAAGCGGTGTATAGAAGATGGATGGAACTTAAACAGCTATTTAGAGCCAAACTTCTCCCCCCACACACACAGAAGCTACACTGATTACAGCAATCTTTGCTTGGAAGAAATAGAAAGTACAATTTCTTATATTACTATTGGATGCAGCTGTAGCTATTTGCCAATACCGCAACTGTCTGCGTCATCATTAATTCCAATGAAAAAATGCCTCCCATGCTGTGATAGTATGTGACCAGGGGCCCCAATTAGAGTTTCGATGATTTATAATGTGTATCGCTTACAGTACAGTTTTGCTAGGCCTTGCACTTTCTTGTATAGACCGAATAAAGGAAACCTTTCCACAAGAGAGGAAAGCTGCTGCAGCTCAAATTAATAGCCTTCAGCCTTTGATCAAAATCCATGACAGTGTGTGTGTCCTGGAATGCATTCTGCCCGATGTTTTGCTGAAAAAGGGAAGAGGATATAGACACAAGCAAACCAAATCAATAGAATGTCCCCCCAAACAGTCCCGCGCTGTTTTTAGAGAAACGGATTGAAAGAAATAATGGATAGCTGTGAGGGTGCTGAAAGAGGAAGGAGAGCAGAGGTCACAGCCAGAGCTCGCTCAGGCCACATCTAACCAGGAGGAATGGGTCAAAGCAAGGAGGCGACAGAGGGGAGTTTACCGCATGGGTTGTGTTTGAAGGCAAGAAGAAGCCGAGCATGACCAGAAGGGGCATAATCAAGTAGAAAGAAACATGGCAGGAGGAGCAGAGGGCACACATGACCAGAAGGGATACGGCCGAGGAAAGTCAACTCAAGCAGACGTCGTGATCGAGATGTGAAGCGGTTCGAGTCTCCGGGTCGCACTAGATAGGCCTTTAAATGTAGCTGTAAAAAGTGTTAAATGTTTCATGTTGCAACTACAAAGAGCACAAGTCTGCTTTCATTAAATCTTTATACCCACAAGCAGTCTATGATTAAATGAATGAAACCAACTCATGAATTCTGCTTAACCAAGTTTAAATCAGCAAGTTTAAGTTGGAGGCTTCATGTGGCGCTTCTGTGAAAACTGTCATCTATTCATCTATTCATAATAATTTGTGTGCTTACTCCTTTTCAAAGGATGGAAATGCATTTTCAGATCAAAGATGACCATTGCTTCCAGCTTAACAGATGTGTGTGCTGCATAAGCAGGGTCAAAAATAGAGACCTCAGGCTCTTGTGAGGGAAGGAGTAGATGTAAAGCAGTCGAGAAAAACTCCATAGATTACAGCAGTCGAACAATTCGAAGCGAACCAATGGAAAAACTGTTCTGTTCGGCTGCTCTCGTGCTCGCTGATGGACCAATTGTGCCTTTCTCTCTCTATTGCAATAGATTCAGATTCACCAACGATCAGCGAAGGGTTAAAGGTGCACTGATCCCATCTGCCAGGTTGGCATTGGCCCAGATGCTAGCATAATGAAGTGCAGGGCGTTCCACCCAGATGTATCCCATCTTTATAAAAGAGACTTCCTCATCAATGCCGTAGTAATAATCACAGCGGGCTGCTCGTTTGTGTAGTTGTCATAACAACACTGGTGCGTAACAGTGTGTCTCTAGATACGTTGTGTCGTCGTGTCGACTGAAGGAGGTTTTTATTTTAGTGATCGTGGTGGTGGAGAAGCTGCATCTATTTACTCATGATACCAGATTTTGGCCCTGACGTGTGTCTCGTCACATCAGATTCGTCAGTTTTAGCACATTTTAGTTACATTTCCGCTCGTTTTTTTTTTTTTTTTTTGGCTGTCTGGTAGATTTTAGCACCAACGTGTTAATGTGTGGAGGTACAGGAACAACGTGTCAGGCTTTTAGGGTCTGCACTGATGTGTCTTTGATAGTAGAATAGCAGCACAGCTTGAGGGACATGGAACTGAAAGCAGGTACTGGTTCAAAAATAAATACTGTGTGTTTAGTTCGATCTGTGTTGTTGTGCTTTGTCTTTATTTATTTAATTTTTGCATGATGAGCAGTCAACTATTGTGATTTTTTTTTTCTTCAACTACTTACCCAATGCAGTTGTTGTATTCCTGACTTTTTCCCTCTCTTCTCTCTCTCTCTCTTCCACTCAGGAGGATTTCCGGAATAAGGTTCAAGATTACATCAAGCACTACGCCAGATGATAGAAGCATTGGCTATCTGCAACAGCCTGCACCAACCAACCAACCAAACTGCTCTACCTTGCCTCTGCTTATCTTGGCCAACTCCCCCCCCCAACATGTGTGAATCAGCAGCTGACTCTCTGACTCTACCTACCCCCCCGCCCTCCCCCCCAGTCCTCCTATTGACACCACAGCCCTGCCTATGCCCCCCTTCTGTTCATCCAGTTGCAATAAACTCCACATTGCAGGAATGATATTAAAAAAAAATAACACATTTAAAGAGGGACTCGCATAAAAATAGAAAAAAAAAATGCTTTAATTATCCTAATCGATTGAGTGTTACAATGACCGCAATGTCTGTCCACGGCGGCGAGATCAAGGACCGGCGCCGCGCCGCGAGAACCTGTCGGAGACGAGCCGCGGCGACGGACGGCGAGCGATGTGATGTGATGTGAAAAAGACAATAAGTCACACTTAGCTGTTTTCAAATTCGATGAATCGAGAGAAAGAATATCTGTTACTATCAGTTCTCTGTTTCAGTGCCTGCCATGTTTGTGTCGCTAAAGAGAAAATGCATGTGAGTCCACAAACGTACACAAACGCGGTGTCACATCTTGTAGTAAAAGGTCAGAACACACACACACACACACACACACACACACAGGATTCTGATTCACACACACTTGAGTTGGAGGTCCTGCAGCCCCATTAGACAGCATGTGAATGACCACATCGCCCCATTTTGTTGTCATTCTGCTTGCATGTGTACATGCACACACACACACACACACCAACGACTGACATACAGACCTTGTGTGTATTTTCAGCTCCAGTGACATAAAATACTGCCACTTAAACTACAGCCAAATGTATTGTTCTGTTTCCAGCTTCACCTCTTTTCTGCACCACCGCTCTCCTCACTTTCCTTTTTTGTCTTTCCTCCGTCTGTCTCCGTTTCACACACAAACCCTTTTCTATCAAGCATGGAGAGGTTTATTCAGACGTACAGTGCAATTACAAAGTCCTCTGACACATTATCAGTGTGTTGGCTCTGCACTGAATGAATCAATGATTGGTTTAAAGGACTAGATTTAATTTTACATCTGCATGACATAAATAGAGAGAGCAGGGCATGCAGCATCTCTGCACATGGCCCCGAAAGTTTAATCAGTGTAATTAAACATGTAAATTTAAAGCTGCTATATTTATTATTTTGAATCTAACAACTAGCTGGTGACCACAGTGAAGCCTTCAGCAACAAAAGGCAAAAGTAGGCAGAGACCTAAAACGGCTGAAAGATTTGAAAGACTCAGTTCATCCGGTGGACAGAAACCCAGCCGCAAATGAATGACGACGGTACAGAACGCGCAAATCTATAATATCCCCGTCTAATATTTTCCGCTCAGCCCGGCCCACTCGCTGCCATAAAAACTGTACACAATGGTAATTTTGGAGTAATTCAATGATTCACGTTCAACCCTGAAACTGATTCTGAGGAAGAATAATGATGATGAAGCAGCAACTCTGGAAGTTGGAACTCCAGAAGTCTGAAGCTGTGTTTCTGAGACTCGGACGCTGACGGCTTATTTGGCTCATTTTGTATCTCTCAGCATACAAAAACAAAACGATTTTAAAATCAGCACAGTCTTTGTATCCTATTTTATTGTGCGTCGTGCAGAGCCGACCCAACGTCAGACGTTTTGACTTTGTGACTGCACTGTGCACACACACACCTCTGGTTTCTGCGGGAGATTTCCCGAACTGATATGTAGAGTGTGTCTTTGTAAAGCGACACTACTCCAGTCTCACTTTCTTGTGCGTGTGGACTGTATGGGCGTGTGTGGAAAAGACAACAGCAGAGGTTCATAAAGATAATCGGCCGACTCGTCTGCAAGTAGGCTAGTAAGCTAACACGCTAGCCAGCTTACAAAGTAGTGAGTGAGTGATTTTGACGAAGTGCAAGAGACTTTTTTTTCTGTTGAGCAGGTACTCATATGTCTTTATATCCATACTTTGACGCTAGCTATCCTATTTAGATAATCCTGGCTTGGTTAGACCAGGTCACTGTCAGAAAAACTACCTTTTATAACAATGGAAATGATGTCGACATAAATAAAGTGCAGTTCAAGGTACTTCACAAAAATAGATTCTCTTTGCACATATTCACATGCAGCCAATAAATGTGTGTCCATGTTGAGGGACGATGCTGCAAATGGCGGTAGTGTGCATCTGGGGGAAGAGACGCAGTGTGAATGTATGCAACAAAGTCTTCCAAGCAGACACCCAGGGACTAGAAAAGTAGAATTTACCAACAAGTGTTCAGAGCTGTCTGTGTGCACGTCTATAATCAAGGCTTAATGCACATCGAAATATGGAATAAGACAAAATATATGTAGTGGATAAGCAAGATAATTTTAAAAAAGCATCAATGAAATACACAGATTTTATTAAAATTTAAAAAAAAAAAAAAAGAAGATAAATAGTGATTAACAAAATAAAGTAAATTAAGAAGATGCTGGTTTGGTAAAAAGCAAACTGACTTGGTAGGTCGGTGGCAGGTTTACTGGTGGATTATCTTGTTAGCTACTTAGACAGCCGCTGCTCGTTGGGTCAAACAGATGAAGGGATGCACCGTGAGGCGACTCCTGGTGTCAAACTGTCTGCATGAACCTCTGCTGCCGTGGATTTTAATGATTGTTCATTTTGTGTGTGTGTGTGTGGGTTTGTGTCACTCAGCTAGCCAGTGATGGAGCAGAGTGCACATGTTGCTCTGCCCTGGTTGGCGCTACGCCTCCTGTTTGGGTCGAATCTCTTGAACATGGACTGTTGTCACTCCATCCAGCTTCGTGTTCACACGTCTGCATGATGTCAATGTGATCTGCCGGTGGTGCATTTTTACTAAGGATGTAGAAATACAGTCGATGAAGACTGGACTTTTGTGTTTGAGTGTATGTGTGTGCAAATGGACATTTAGTGCTTGTGGAGCGTTTGTGTATATGTGTGTGTGTGTGTGTGTGTGTGAGCGTATGACATGTGGAGATGACTTGTTAGCATGCTCTGGTTTCCTCTTGCCCTTCTTTCTTTTTCTGATTCTGGCCCAGGTTTCAGCTGCTCCAATTAGTTTTTTTTTTTTTCTTCCGAGTGAAAGTAAACACAACAGATGACACTGGCCTCTGCCAAAAGGACCCGAGAGAATGCAGGTCCGTCGATAGCAAATGTGAATATGGGTGTTCCACGGCGTTCCTCGGTGCGTTCTAGGTCCACTCAAACCTTGAAGTCTGATGTAACTGCCTAATCATACGAAGCCATCCTGTGTAACTGCCATGACAGTTAATTGTTACGGCGGTGTTTGCCTCCAGGATACGACAGCCCGACACTCATCTTAGCCTTACTAATGCTCTGACTTTAGCTTCCTGTTGGAGACCGTGTCGTTACGACCTTTAGTTCGGCAGTTAGCAGTGCTTTTTGTTTCCCCCCCTTGGATGTTTTTGGGGGAAAATGTCTCTGCTTGGGTTTAACTCCATCTTTGGGCCAGAGGGAGAAGATCAACAGCCTGCTCTTCTTCAGATCCTCAACCTTTTCTTTCTCAGATTGTATATCCATTTTTTAAGATATATTAAAGAGAATATAAATCAAACTGCTGTGTCTTGTTTTAATTTTTTGTGTGCTGTTTTTTCACTCACAATAACGTTACAGTTGACTCGACAATGCAAAGCGTAATGATTATTTTTTTTCTCCTTTAATCATCTGGTCTAGAAAAGGGTTTGAACTCACCGTTGCAATTCCCAGAGAACTGAAGGATGTCTTCAAATTGCTTGTTTTGTCAGATCCAAACCCCCAAAGGTGTCCTGGAGGATTATAAAGGATGAAGGAGATCAGCTGTGGTGGCCTGTGTGGATTGTTTTATTTATGGCTGCAGCAGACTAAAACCATCCAGCAAACACACTAATCGTGTTTCTTTTTGAGACGTACAAACGGTAATAAATGCTTAATAGCCTTCTGTTAAAGTCACCATAAACGGTTCCAAACCTCAACCC